CAGCACATCTTAATGTTGCAATAGCTCTTGGTACACCATCTTGTAGTTTATCTTCGACAGCTGTTAATCCAGCTAACATTAAATCAACTTCTATTTCAGTTGCAACATCAGAAATAGCTTCTTCTCGATTGTCAAGTGAATTTGCAGCATGTCGATATTTTTCAAACCAATCTTCAAATTGTCTCAAAGTTAGTTGTCGATATGCAACTAGTAAAGATCGATAACCTTGTTCAGCAAAAGTTAAACTATGTTGTTCGATTGTTGATTTCATTTGTGCATCATTGAGAGGACTTAGATGTGGCCATATTGATGATTCAGCACCTTTGAGAAAGAGAAAGATTTGATCTTGAAGTCGAACAATAATTGACATTCTTTTTCTTGTTGAGTCAAATGGTAATAAACAAAGAATATCATATTCATAATCTTGTTTTTGTGTATTAGTTGAATCGATAAATCGAACAATAATATTTTGTGCTGATCGAGAAATCATTCTGACACCAAAATCTGATGCTGTTTGACAAAGTACAAGATCATCAGCATTGTCACCTTCATATTTTGGTTGATAATCAAGTTTCTCCATAAGTTGTTTATCCTGATGAACGATGAATGATGTATTACATACCGCAAGTGCTGTTAAGAAATGTTTAGTTAATAGATCCATTTCTAATGGTAATTCAGAACTGAAAGAAAAAGAAAGAATGATTTTAGATCAAACGAATTTAGAATAGTTTTATTAATGTCAGTATTTACATATATTGATGTTATTTTGAATGAGAAAAATAAAGTGCTATAATTGATATTTTTGTTGTTTTTTCTGGTTAAATAATGATTCACTAATACTATATGATCGTTATATATCCTTAGAGAATAAATTAGAGAAGATTATAGTCTTTTCCCAATAAAAGCTTCAAATGTGGAAAATATTAGTTCTCATACTTTTTTCACTGAAAATCTCTTTTTTCCGTAGGAAAAGTGTGCTCTATGTACAGATCTCATATGAATAGCATTATCATGGAAAAGCTAAAAGAACTAATGATATCAATAAAACTGAACAGATTAGCCTCAACTGTGCATAACTTGATAAAAGAAACTCAGATTAGTATTGCCTAATAAATATACCTATCAATTCAATTGTATAAACTGAACTGTTTCATTAACTACTATCGAATAATGAAAAATCTCAATAGAATCTATTACAATTCATACCGTTGTGAATATTGCATACCACCAATCGACATTACTTTGAATACAAGTTTATTTTGTGTTAATGTACCAGTTTTGTCTGAGAATACATAACCAATTTGACCAAGATCTTCATTTATCGTAAATGTACGACAACTTATGGCATGTTCATATCGTAGTTTTTTATCACGTGCTATTGTATACATTTGAAGAACTCGAACAAGATCTAATGATACATATAATGCAATTGGTACCATCACTTGAAATAATATCACAAAACGCAACGTATTTGCAAAAAAATTGCCAGCAGGATTATCAAATGGGTTATCTACTAAGAATGGAACATGTATCCATTCATCGCCGAATGAACGTCCCCACCAGATTGATAGTCCCGCACAGAGTAAACATATTACTGCTAATATCAAACTTGAGAAGAGCACATCACGATTAATATATCGCTCAATAAGTGCATGTTTACTCGTTGTTTGACGAGATGATTTGAT